CAACATCATCATCAGCAGCATCAGCATTATCATCCCTCTCCTTCTTCGCCTCCTCCTCATCTATCCTCTTCCTCCTCCATTCTCCTCCATCCTCTTCCATCCTCTTCCATCCTACTCCATTCTCATACATCCTTCTCCATCCTCCTCCATCATCCTCCGTCATCCTCCTTCTCCTCCGCCCTCCTCCGCCCTCCTCCTCCTCCTCCTCCTTCTCCCTCCTCCGTCCGTCCCCTATCCCTCCTGCCCTTCCCCCTCCCTGTCTCCTGACTCCTCCCTCCTGCCCCGTCCCTCCAAACTGCTGCACTCCTCCCTCCGTGCATTCTCCCCCCGTCCGTCTCCCTTAGAGATGACCCCTCCCAATCGAACCACCAAACACGTCGACAGGGCGGGCCAGGCGCTTCCCCCGATACTCCCTTACCGGCTTCGATACATAGAAGCTCGAATTTCCAATAGCTGCACGGCGCCCACGGATTGATGGCGAACTGCCCTCAACATGGGGCTCTCCCCTTGGCAGGGCGCACCTTCGTCACACAAGCTTCCAACTGTGACACGGATAAAGGGCAGCTCCTTTTTAAATTGTGCTCTCGCCTGAGACTTCCTCCAACCAGACTGCCACAAACACAACACGTGTGCAACGATTGTACGGATGGAGAGCGGATCCGTAAAAAAACTGGACTCTCGCTTTAAAAATCATACGACCTTATCACCAGAACTCAACCAGTGTACAGCAACTAGATGGATGGATGGCCGTCCCCTTTTCAAAGCGAGACTGTCCCCAGGCGCTTCCTTAAGTTGTATGGCACCACCTCGCCACATCCCTTTAGCTGCAACCATTGAGATCATGTTTTGCTTTCCAGTCGGAGCTCCGCCGGAATCATGGGCCCGTGGGAGGCTCGTTTTTCGAGGTGGGCGCGTCGCGCAGTGACAACAAAAGCGCGTACCGTAGTCCTCGTCCCCCCCCATCCCCGACACGGATCTGCCGCTTTCCTCCCTCGAACCTCCGAGCTCGTCCAGAGGGGGTACAGTCGAGGCCCGTCCACAAGAAACCTTCCACAAGAAACCCAACCCTGAGACCCCAGGGCGTCCACTGATTTTTGGTGTGGGAGCGTCGCGCTTTCCATCGCGAAGCCATCGAAGCACAAGAAACCCAGTGCACCCTGGAGGCAAGCAGGGGTGTTTCTTGGCATGGGTCTACACTGCAACTGCTCGTCACTCGCGGTGCTGGCTTTCGTGGCTCCGTGGGCGTGTGCAACTCCTTACTGGCCCGCCGAGAGGGCGATGGGCTGCTGGCTCCACTCGTGCCCGTCCTCCCCCCTCTCCTCTCCTCTTCCAGTTTCGCCTCTCCCCTCCTTCCTCCCTCCCTCTCCCTCCTCTCCATCCCTCCCTCCCTCCTCTCCTCCTCTCTCATCCTCCCTCCCTCTCTCCTCATCCCTCCTCCCTCCTCCTCCTCCCTCCCTCCCTCCCTCCTCCCTCCTCCTCCTCCTCCTCCTCCTCCCTCTGACTCCTGATTCCCGATGGCTGAAGAGATCCACGACCGCAGCCTCGCCTCCTCCCTCTCGCCTCTCTCCTCCTCCTCCTCCCTCCCTCCTCCCGTCTCTCCTCCCTCCCTCTTCTCCTCCTCCCTCCTCTCCCCCTCCCTCCTCCCTCCTGCTCCCCCCCCTGGCACAGGCAGAAACTCTGCTGGCCACCGTCGCGGTCGTCACCGCCAGTGCCATCGCCGCCGCCTGACCTTCGTCGTTGCCGATCGCGTTTTTCTGGCCTCTGCGCTGGAGGCTCCCGCTCATCGTATTGCTGCCTTCCGTCTTCAATCCCATCCACGCCTGCGCATTCCTCCCCGCCCCCCCCTTCTCGACGATGCCCCCTAGTCCAGAACCGCGGCTTCGTCCATTCGCCCGTCTTCGCCAATCGCATACCCATCCTCATTTGCCTCCTTACAGGTTCGTGCACTCACCGAAGATGCAGCTTGCCCTGGATTCAAACTCGTGAGCGTGGATCTCGGTCGATTTGCAGGAAGGGCCCCCCAAACTTCCCGACCATTGCTGTTTCGTTGATGCATCTTGGGTTTACCCTGGTCCTCCTTCTCCCCATCCCTCCTACCCATGCCTCCTCACATCCTCGGCCTTCCCCCCTCATCCTTTCTCTAGGTGGCAGCATCCGAACCCCATCCCCACCAACCAGCGATTCTCCTGAAATCGATCAGAGGCGGGGGCAGGGTTCGAATTTCGTTACGTCAACGGCGAATTCTGAACCTACCCCCGCCGCCCATCGAGTGGCCGGACCGGAATCGTTGATCGGCCAGGGCAGGGTTTGGATTTCGCCGCCGATCCTCCCCTCTCTGACATCCCTCCCCCTCCCTCCTCTGGCGAATCACCCAGAAAGCGTGGGCGGAATCAAGAAGCTCGCGAGCCCCGACCTTGGATTTGAGAGCCCTGGGCCTGGCGGCAGCTGTGCCGCAGGCAGCGGGTGCGCCAGGCTGGTCCCAGGCAGCGGGGTCTGCCATGGCTGGGCGCTGTTGACTTCAAAAGCCGGGGCCGCCGCACAGACCTCCTCAGGACGAGTCCACGCGGCGGCCCCTGCCATCGGCGCGTCGCAGCGCCAGTGATGCACCACGCGCAGGGCGCGGGGACTTGAATTGCAAAGGGCTGCGGCGAGGGGCAGGGAGGAGGAGGAGGAGGAGGAGGAGGAGAAGGAGGAGGAGGAGGAGGAGGAGGTGGAGAAGGCGGAGGAGGAGTACAAGGCGGAGAACGAGTAGGGTTCAGGGCCCACATCATATACTATCACCAACATCATCATCACCACCATCATCATCATCACCACCACCACCATCACCATCACCTTCACCATCACCATCACCATTAGCATAATTCTCATCATCATCGTTAGGGTTTAGGGTTCACCATCACCATCAACATCAGCGTCATCATCATCATCATCATCATCATCATCACCACCACCACCACCACCACTATCATAATCATAATCATCATCACCACCACCATCATCATAATCAGCATCATCATGACAGGGACATCATCAACACAATCATCATTACCATCATCATCATCATCAGCATCATCACCATCATCACCATCATCACCATCATCACCATCACCACCACCATCATCACCATCGTCATATATTTAATTTTGATATGCATCATCATCAGCATCAGCATCACCATCATCATAATCATCATTATCAACATCATCTCCATTATCATCAAGGTCATCAGCATGACCGTCATCATATCATGAGAATCATCATTATCACCATCATCACCATCACCATCATGATCACCATGTATCAGTATCAGTATCAGCATCGTCAACATAATTATCATCAGCATCACAATCATCGTCATCGTTATCATCATCGCCATCCTCGTCGTCATCGTCATCACCAGCATCAGCATCGTCATCAACAGCATCATCAGCATCTGCATCACCATGATACGCTATCATCCATCGCCACCATCATCATCCTCATCAGCATCCTCATCATCATACTCATCATCATCATCAGCATCATCATCATCATCATCATCATCATCATCCTCAGCATCATCATCGTTATCATCATCAACACCATCATCATCATCATCAGCAGCAACAGAACAACCGTCATCATCAGCAACATCGGCATACGCAGCAGCAGCAGCACAACCATCATCATCATCACCATCATCATCAACAGAGCAGGAACAACATCGACATACTCATCATCAGCATCATCATCATCAACGTCATACTCATCAGCAACACAATCGTCATCACCGCCGACACCATCATCATCATCATCATCATCAGCATCAGCATCATCATCACATATCATCACGATCCATACCACCAGCATCAGCAGCAGCATCATCATCAGCATCATCATCGTCGTCAGCATCATCATAAACAGCATGATCATCAGCATCATCAGCAGCAGCATCATCATCGTCATGGTCGTCGTCATCATCAGCGTCACGTTCATCATCATCATCATCATCATCGTCGTCATCATCATCATCATCATCATCATCATCATCATCATCATCATCATCATCATCATCATCATCATCATCATCATCATCATCATCATCATCATCATCATCATCATCATCATCATCATCATCATCATCATCATCATCATCATCATCATCATCATCAGCAGCAGCAGCAGCAGCAGCAGCAGCATCATCATCATCATCATCATCATCATCATCATCATCACCATCACCAATATCATCCGCATTATCCGCCTCCTTCCCCACATCCTCCTCATCATCATCAGCCTCCTCATCCTCCCTCTCCTCCGGCTACTCCGCCTCGTCCCCATCATAATGGTAGCTCTCTTCATCTTCCTCTGTTGCCTTCTAGTCCCCCTCCTGTACTCCGTCAGTATGATTCGCTGTGCACCTCACCATGTCCCCTCCTCCGTCTGCAATCCCTCCAATGGATTTGGCACCGTAAGGACGGCAGATTGTGAACTTGCTTTCTAGTGCGGTCATCGAACGTAACAGCGACCACAGACTTAGAGCCAAAGTCCGTCCTCTGGCTGTTGTTTCAGTCTTGAGTCAACCAGCGATGGAGATCGAACAATCTCCGAGCATTGCAAGCCCCTCATTGAACAACCCCCCTTGACGCATGGTCCGACTGGTTGGCGGGGAGGGTGATGACACAACTGTATCTATGTGTACATACAAAACACGCACATGCAAGAACACGACATGATGACGGACGGCTCCGCGCACACGAGCAGACTTCGCCCTGCCCTACCGTTGAGGGCTCTCGTGTCTCCAACACAGCCTGGCCTGCGGCTCAAACACTCAGGATGTAGCTTCAATATGCTCTCGTGTAGCAGGGCAAATGGATTAGACGAACGAACTAATTGTGCTGCGGCCGTAGCCGTCCCGAGGGCCGAAGGCAATGTTGCCACTTAACACTTACATGCCGTCAGGGAGGCATGCAAGGTGGAGCCGTGTGACAACATGCGCCTCCTCTTTTGTACTAATTTCGATAATGATGTTGACCTGCAGCTTGACTCTATCACGTGGCGACATCAGTCAGGGCTCTCTGCTTGGCACGAATGCGTGCCGAAGTACTACTTTGCGATGGTGTGCGCGTCTCGTCTACGCGTCTGACCCACATGATTCGAAAACGCGCTTGCCATGTTCTCGCTCGTTCCTTCGTTCATCATTCTTACTCCAATATGTGTATATATCTATACATATAGCCTGGAGCGATGAGAAAACCTCCCCCCCCCAGCTGGACCCTGGGATTCCTGGCCTCGGGGACCCCGAAAACTTTGGTCTCGGGGGCACCTGGACGCCCCTGCAAAAGGTCCCCCGGAAGTTCTGGGCCCCCTGAAAGCCTTTGCTGGGCCCAGGCAACGGGCCCAAATCGGCCTCGAAGGCAGCCGAACGCCCCCCGAGGGCTCCAAGAGGCCCCAGACACCCACCAGACGCCCGAAGACGACCCGACCCCCAAGAGGCTTTCAAAATGCAGAAAAACATTGATTTTCCATGGGTTCTGCATGATTTCGGGAATCCCCACCCCCCCCGAAGCATTCCAAGTCGCGACCCGGTCTTTCAGGGAGACCGCGGTTGGAGGCAGGGTGGTCCGAGGAAGACCCCTTGAGGCCCCCAGAAGGCGCCCTGAAGGCCTCCAAAAAGCCCCAAGAAGGTCTTATAAACTTCTGTGAGGCCCCCAGAGGCTCTCCAAGGAGGAACCTCCGCAAAAAGAGCTGATGAGGATGGGGAAGAATTCGCAGGGTAGGGCGATAATTAGGAATAAAACATGAAGGAAGGATAATGAATAACATGATTATATAACGACGATGCTAGCTTCGCCTCCAAGTCTGTCAGCACGGCCTGCAAACCTAACGCTTCTGATCCTCCTGCGACTATGCCACAGCACTCTGCTTCACCCAAGGATAACGCGACGATCGTCTGAGTTACGCTCCAAGCCTTAGCCGCGCACTGACCCCCAAACACTGGTCTCCCACCCTGTTGACTTCCTCGACTCCTGGACTCCATCGCAGTGAGGAGGAGGAGGAGGAGGGGGAAGAGGAGCAGGAGGAGGAGGAGGAGGAGGAGGAGAAGGGGGAGGAGGAGGAGGAGGAGCAGGAGAAGGAGGGAGGAGGAAGAGGAAGAGGAGGAGGCGTGTCTGCCCAGACAATGAATTCCCCTGGGTTCTCCTGACCTTCGTGGGCGCGTGCGCGGTGGGCCGAGGCTTCCTTCTCCCCCTTCCCCTCTGCTCTTCGGGCGCCAGGTCTGGCCGCCCACCGGCTCGGCCTTGTCGAAGACGATCGGGGCCCCGCCCACCGACTTGAACGCGCGGACGGGGCTGGACACCCCGCCAGGCATCAGGTCCTGGCAGCAGAGGGGGGGGATCCGCGGCACAAGCTGCAGCAGAGAAAAATCAGTGCCGAGGAGCAGTGCTTCCTGGCGGTCTTCGACGGCGTCGGGCTAGGATGGCGCGCTTCAGAGCGCAGCTCCGAAGGTCAGGGGTTCCGCTTGGCAGGTCCAAAATGCCATCTGGGTCCCAGGATCCAGCGCAGGAGTTCCGGCAAGCGTGGCACGTGCGACTGGGAGGTGCAGAACAGCACGAGCCCACATAGGATGTAGAAGATTCGCACATCGACACCAACGCTGCCCCCGTCGATTTTTCTGTTTCGCAACTATGGCAATGAAGGGTTACCAACTGATGACAGTCACCGAGTGTCCGACGGTGAGAGGTCGAAAAGTGTCCACACCCATCGGCGCCAAGACAACGCTACGACAAAGTGCGCCCGAAATCTCCACAGCCCCTCCCCACCAACCCCAAAGTTGGCAGTGGCGCTCGCGAGGCAACGCGCGAGGGACAACATGTGGACGCGTCAGCGTTGGGCTTGGAGGGGAGGGGGGCGGGGCGCATGTCATACAAGATGGGCCTTCGTGCCATGGGTGTGGACGACGGAGCTCCGTGAATAACCACGCGGACTTGACATGAAGACAAGGGCCCGCACCACGCTGCCCCCACCGATGCTTGCCCCTCCTCGCCCTCCTCCTCCTCCTCCTCCTCCTCCTCCTGCAGCGGGCCGCCCCGCTCCACGCCAACCGCTCTGGCCTTCATAACTGGGGGAGGTCACAAACCTCCCAGACGAGCAACTTTGGACGCCTCCACTCCAGACCAGCCATGAAAAGGCGGCCTTTCGCCCAGATCCCCTGGAAACCTCCAAGACAAATCAAATCAGACTCCCCCCAAATCATACCCCCCCTTTGATCAGGAAATCTGGAATACATGATCCCACAAGCCCTTTGGGTGAAGATGGTCTCTCGATATATGTTGTTCCGACCTTTCCCTTTCGAGGAGGTGTACCCTCCCCCGTCCACTTTCTGACGTTTTTGGGCCCTGGGCGGAGCGGCGGTCAGACGCCTAACATGGCCCGAGATGGTTCCGAGAGAGGTCCCCGATGTTTCAAGATGGCCCCCAAGAGGGCTCCAGAAAGCCGCGAAGCTGGTTCAAGACGGCT